TGTTTCAACACAGTTCACAACAAAGCACGAGGTTCTTCAGGTACAGTAAGGTTGCATGTTATATGCAAAATGCCACTTCTGTACCTCTGATGTAACTCCTTACAAGCCACTAACTAAACATGCATCATCATCCGCATTGATAGAAATCAGAAAGCTTTCACAGCCCACAAAACTCAGACAGCAAAAGTACGTGTGAAAAGAATGCTAAGCAGGAGACAAACGATGCAGTTAATGTCCCTGCATTCCTGGAAGAATTCAAAAAGCACAATATTAAGACAGTCTCTGTTATCCATCAAACTCACAGAAACAATGCTTCATCTTTTCAGCCACCTACTACCACTCTGCTGAGTTCACGTTCAATTACGGGGAAAAGGAAAGATGCTGCTGGACTTCAGCCCCAGACCTCAAAAGCGAGAATCGCTTTTGGCTACCTGCTGGAGCACATAACAATGATGCGGCTATGGCAGAGGGCATTAGCACACAGTGAGCCTCATTCTCCCACCTCAGAATCTAGAAAGGAGCAGGGTTCCCTCCTCTCTTATCAGTCTCAATGAAAAACAGTTACTTTCAACTCAACATTATAGCCCAGTGTTTCTAAGATGGGAAAGAGCTTAGTAACTACAAATATTTCTAACATCGTACCCATCCCTAGAATAACATCATCAAAGATATTCCCCTCTATCTTTCCTCAAGTCTCAGACTGAGTCCTTCACACACTATTATCTGAGAGGAGGGGAAAATATTAGTATTTTCATATTCCTTAAGAAATCATTACCAAAGCCAACAAATGTAACCATGAAAATACATCCAGGGAAAACTCAAGCATTTAAGTCAGGTTCTCATGCTTAACAAGGTAAGTGAATTCATTATACTTCTATCACTTCCAACAACAGATACACCCCAGCTCAGCACCCATACCTCCAGCATCCACCTTCCACAAACGAACACACTACTTTTATCCTGCTACAAACAACAGAAGTGGCATTCTTCTGAAGCCAAATCAATTACGGATTGCTTTCTAACAGCACGGTAGTAAGACTGCCAGCAAACTGCACTTTTAGAAAAAATGACCCAGTCATCTCTCTGCCATTAAAATAATATAAGTTCTGCCTTTTACAACTCTGTTGTTTGTACATCCATTTAGTGAGCTGCTATAGTAGTAATATTATTGTTATTAGAGTGCATCTTGTTGGGTTGATGGTTTTGTTCTCAGCTATAAAGCTTTCTACTTCAATTAAATTATTCAATGCCTTGCATCTTTGTCATATTTCATGTGTGGACATTTGCTGTCATTGAAGGAAAGGAAAGCTCTGTGTCACATCAGGCTGCTTTTAAGAAGTCAGATTTTTATCATTTGGACAAAAAAAAAAGTGCATGTTTAAAGACTAAAGTATTCAGCCTTTCAATAGCAATGTAATTTCAATAGCTAAGTAATATTCAGAAAACTGTCCTTTTTGCTAAAAGTAGGGAAGTCTTATTAGGCAAGATGGCCCACAGATCTTAGTTACTGACCCCAATGACTGACTTGATGCAAACATTCCGTTCTACAAATAGTTTTCCAGTCAGAATGTTTAGGTGTCTGGGGCCACAGAAGCCCACGGGTGCCTGCAGAATCAGATGATGAGCCTTTTATACACTACGTGCACTCACTGAGCACTCAGTACAGTGCGGCACATTTCTATAGTAGGAAAAAAACCTGTCCCGTCTTCAGCATAGCATGAAAAAAGTAACATGTAGACAACCATCACATCAGAACTCCCAAAACCAAGATATCCAAGGAAATATAAAAGTGGACAGGAAACACAAACTTCAGCAGAGTTTTGTCAAATTGAATTCACCTTCAAAAATGTTTCACTTAACTTTTTATGAGACCAATTTTAGAGCAGCGGTTTTTACTTATTCCATCCAAACATACATAATTAACTGGTTATGCAAGCACACTTCAATCTTGTTACCTCTTTGGCACTAGAGCCAACTCAAAACATGATTAAGAGTCACCGTTGTGTCTCAAAGCCTCACCAAAACTGAGTTTAAGTAATGCCATTCATTTCAAACACACGCACTTTCTGTGAATTGACAGGCATTTGGCTCATGCATATGATTTTAGACTATGCTGAAAAGTTAGCTGTGTACAGTTCTGAAAATCAAAAGTTAATAATGAACACAATTATAGAAGTTATAGCTGTGTATTCTCCTCTTTTTGATAATACTATAAAATAAGAAAAGATGACATGCTGTGTTAACACAGTTGACCTCATCGAGTCACATTTGTTTACAATTAGGCTTGAAGATGTGCTGAGGTCTTCCAGAACTATCACCATGACATGATGCAAAGATGGCATCACCACATGACAAGGAACAAGGAGCAGCAGCTGTCCACCTCTGCAGCAGTGCTGTGCTCACTGATTTCGGCACCAACGTAGGAAACAGAAACTGTGCTTCTGTACAAACTTTAAAAGAAAAATAAAAATAAATCCTCACGATGGAAAACTTTCTGCCCTGCAAGGCCGATGCCTTCGCTAAGCAATTTCACAGAGCAGGATATTACACCCTACTTTTTGCAAACATAACTGGTCCTGCAAATCTACTCTGTTTGGGTCCAACCAATGAATTAACCATATGTTTACAAGAAATACTGCCGTAGGCAGAATTGCCTTCTGCTGAAGGAGATTAAAGCATAATCTCTTTCCAGTAGATGGCATATTGATAGCACTGTATCATTTTTTAAACTTCCATCATGTGCTGTTGCAAAATTACTCTATGTTCCACACAGCCACTTGAGAATCAAGTGACTGAAAGCAACTGCTGAACAAAGTAGTCCAGGACTTTTATAAATCTTCAACTCTACAGTAAAGTTTCAGTCTGTTTTTTAACATGATGACCAATCTGGTATCAAAAGCAAAACTTCACTTTGCAACACAGTCTGTACTTGGGTGGAATTTTTACTGCACTTTCTCTCACATTGATCATTTTAACCCTCAATTACATAAGAACACAAATCATCATGTGGCACAAAATTATGCTATTGTGAAAGTGTATCTCCTCAAAGTGACCCTGTTCATAATTAGTATTCTCATGCCAACTTCAACTTATTCATATTCTTTCCAACTCTTTTTTGAAAGGTGGGAGGGCCTTGATTTCTTTTTACAATTATGGAGAATGAGCTACGGTTCATTTTTCATACAGGTAACATTTTCTCAACAGGATGAGGAACTGCTTTTAAGGCTTTACACTAGATACTTTATCCCAGTTTAGTCCCCTGATTGTTCAAGAAGTTTAAGACACTTTATAAAAACAATAAAATAGGAAAATTTAGAATAGTTTTCCACATCTCTCTTCACTACAGTTTAACCTGCACAAGCTCATGCAAGATACAAACCTGCATCTGCAAAAGCGGTCTTGGTGCTTCCTCCCCTTTTTAATTCTGGCATAATTTAGCAAAGAATGTATCACTCTTAAATGAGTGTTAAATTATTAATCCAAATTGGCAAGAAGTTTCACACTTGACTGCTAGCAAATGTTTCCTTGGACCACTTATTAAATCAGAAGGGATAATTATTGAATATATTACAAATTTCCTCCAACTATTAGATTTCGAAGAGCACCAGACTAGTTTGTATGGGCCAGCACTGTAGAGTCCCTAAATCAGAACTGTTACCAAAATAAAGTGTTCCTCTGTCCCTCTCCGGTAACGAACCCCTCCAAAGGAGTGAAACAGAGTAATTGAAGCATTGTAATTGAAGCATTTTTGATATTCCCAATTTCTGCTTGCACTCAGGCCTTTTCCCACTTATAGATTTTCACAGTTATTATTTGCCTCTGTTTGAGCATGCACAGAGATGTGCTCCTGCTCTACCTGACTGAGTACTTAGAAGAAAAAAGTGTGTGCCTGCTTTTTTTTTTGTCAGTGAACAAATTAAGGCTTAAAACATGCAGTGCTTCTGCAAAAAGCTGCTTTGATGCTGATTTTACAAGAGACCAAGAATAAAGGAAGAGACACGTTCCCCTGATAAACATACACGCGTGTATCCACTGATAACATGCTTTATGGACTTCACAGTAACTACCCTAAAAACTTCTAACACAGCAGAGAAATACCACGGTCAAAATTTGGGCTTTCTTTTCCAGTAAGAAACTGGAAGTTAAGAAGCCTGAACAGAGACCAGTGTCACTGTAACAGCTGCTCTGTACCCAGCATTAACTTTCCATCTGTGTACATCAAAACACAGGATGGAGAGTCTCAGCTTTTTCTTCACTGAATGTGTTAGGTTTACAGCACAGAGAATATACTATCTCTGAGCACCTCAACAGTACACATTATCTTATCAGAACACTGCATGGTCAGAAGGGGGTTGGGTTTTTTTTAAGTTACAATACGTTTTTGTATGTATTTTCTCAGTGATTTATGATACTTGCACAGAAAGAAACGCTTCTAGATTGCAGCAACTTTTTAAGAGGTTTCTGGCGTTGCGATAACACTGCAACATCTCACCTGCATTTCACATTAAAAAAAGGTAAGCCCTGGGTCTACGTTCAGATATAGATACCTAACCTGAGATGAAATTCTTCAAGTGTTTATGTTTCTTTGCAACTCTAAGGGAAAACATTAGTATGTACTCAATTTCAGCTGTTTGGTTTCCTTATTTCCAATGAAACAGACTATCTGCTTTTACTGCCGTATATATGAAGCTTGTATTTGTTACATCACACAAGCTGTGGGTTAATTTATATACACCGTAAAAAAAAAAAAACCAAAACACAAAGAAAAGAAAAAAGCCTAGAAACACCAAGAGAGACTGGGTACCCTTCAGAGGATCAGGTGGGAAGAGATACGAATCAGAGAAGGTATGGGCTCTAAACTTCCCACCCCTGCAAAAGCTGAAATTTCAATTTCTCTTGAGAGCACAGAATTTAAAAAAAAAAAAAAAAGAAAAAAAAAAAAGGAGAAAAACCACACAAACCAGGGGAGAACTCTAAGCAAAATAGCTCTCGGTACTCACCTAGAGCTGAAGACCAGCGCAGGAAAGAGAGGCAGCAAGTAATAAGCAGAGAGGAATTTCATCCTGGAGCTCCTCCGCTCCGCTCCCCAGCCCGACTCGTCCCTCCAGCAGCT